TAGAAACTAACCCTGGGACAAAGCTGTCGACAGACAGAAAGAAAAAGACAAAAAGAAGACACCATCTTAGTTTCTAACGAAGAGGAGCTGTTTTTCCTCCTCAGGAAAAAGCAACCAGATTTGACCCATGTGCTAATGAGCAAATCTTTGCTTCGGCTCACGATACCTTCAATCGTGATCAAAACAACCAGCTTTGAAGCTCCATTAAGTTTTTAAAACTTCTGATGAGAAGTCTTTTATTTTGAAGAGAAGGTCGAACCCAATCTGACTCTCTCCTTCAGACRGAAGCAGATCTCCGGAGACGCTGAAAACCAAAACTTTGGAAGTCTTACTGGAAGTAAGGGACCTTAATGGAGTTTCTTACCAACCTGGGTGAATCTTCCTAACGTTTAACCTGACGGTCCACACCTCCAGGTAACAGCTGAATGTTTTGACAAGTGTACCGGAGTTCGGGCTGACGTGTCGAAGAGACCCAAAGTGTTCGTTCTGGTTTCCTCACATATTGATAAGTTAAACGTTAGGACTAACATTCCTCCTTTCCTTCTATCTCTTAAACTTAAACCTTGCCGTATAAGTTTAATGTACCTGCAAACGTCTGGTTTATTTAAGACCTTAAACCTGAAGTTCTGCTGTTTCTGTTGGAGTTATCGTATCGACATTAATTAGTGTGGAGACGTACCTGTTTTTRTTGATGTTTAAACTCACAACACAATTTGATTGTCCACAATAAGCTGTACATTAGTAATTTATTTGATTCTGTAAATAAAAATCATTTATTTTAGATCAACTTAAATTCCTGAGTACGTCCACTTATTGTGTGGTGTTCTCATATTTACACTGAGAAGGTGTTTATTCCTTAGAACTCGTGATTTTCTATAACAGTGGTTATAAGAAGAGTAGGTTACCCTACACACATTTTGCAGACTTCTCATTTTCTTTCAGCTCCATATATATTTGACTTTTTATTCATGTGAATTTTTTTGCATTAAAGTGTCTTTAAAGTGAAAGAAACTTTTAATGAGTCAAGTATGAGCTCCGCTTTCTTTTTAGGTTTTACCAACAAATATGAGGATGAGAAGATGTTTGCAGCTGCGATTCGTCAAGGAACCAAAAGGATTTTCTGTCACAGACGTTTCCTTTTTTAGACAAGTTTTAAAAGAATCTGGGTATCAATCGAGTGTTTCCACAGAAGCCGAAGGAAAAAAAAAAAGGTTGGCATTCGTGCCAATGGTTAGATGTTTGTTAAAGACAAAACAAAATATACAAGATCACCCAACTGTCAGCGCAACAAACAAAGCAGCACTTCAGGTTGTTCCTGCTGACTTGGAGTTAAAATATTTCTGTTGCAAAGAATGGTTTGGTTTCATGTAGCCTTATTCATAATTTTGTATAATATGTAGCCGAAACAAATGATATATTTTTGATTGTAGAGGAAACCGTGCTTCATCTGTTTTTAAAGCAAMAAGTCAATAAAACAAAATAATTTGTTTTTTCCACAGTTGCTCCATCCTTTTTAGGCCCAAACACCAAAGGCCTAGTCAAACTGCAGTGTTTATCATTATTTTTCTTCTGTCTTATGACAGATTAATAAAACGAATTGAATGGAAAGGCCTGAAATTCAAGGGTCAAAAAAGATGACAATGTACTCATTTAAAGGGCTTCTGCACCTGCAAAGCATTCACATTACATATGAACAGCAACAAAAATCTCTTGGAGGTAAATTTTATGTTATATAATTTAAAGCAACAAGTCAAYAAAGAAAAAATAAATTGTCCTTTTTAGGCCTGATTACAGGCAGTGGTATGAAGACCAATTGGAACGTGTTTATTGCTATTCTGTCCCACAGCAGTTTAGGTGCCCTCATAAATGATAGGTCCTGAAATTTAGCACGAGTTAAGAGTGAAGTGGCTTTGACAAAAGGCTCGATAGCACCTCCCAGTGTTTCAAATCACTTTTTATGAGTTACATTTTTTTGTTTATCATTTTAAAATGATTTGCGATCATTTTAACTGTCTTTAATGCAAATTCACTTAGTAATTGTTTCTAACACAACAGACACATTGTTTATGCGTTTTCCAAAGAAACCAGGAACTACAAATTTGAACATTCCTGTTGGAGGACTGTGTTTCTGCCTTGTGGCGGCTGGCAATGTGACGATGATGGTCTTTGTTAAGGCAACGCTACAACAGATAAATAACAGAGAATGCTTTAACCTGATAATTATTATCTCTCAAACCTGACCGAAGAGGCGTCAAAGAAAGGGAGATAAGAAGCCTTATGGTCTGGATAAAGAGGAAGAGGATCCAAACCCTGTTATTACAGCTCTGAGTTTTCAATTTCCTCTTCTCGGTTACTGATAGTTGTCTTTAGAAGCATGAGAGAGTGAAGTTCTTTACTTGATTCTCAGCAGCTGTAAGAACTCTGAGAACGAAACAGACTTTTGTAAAATGAAGAATGAAAGCRTTTCACCATCTGATTTCCAGAAAGAGGAATGTTTCACATGCTGGTTTGTGTAACACCTTGTGGCACACAACGTGTTACCTAACAAGCTCCTGCAACAYTGGGAAGTACAGTCGGGGTGTGTTTCCATCCTATACAGCAGGGGTCCCCAAACTTTTCCCTGTAAGGGCCACATAACTTTTCCCTTCTCTGGTGGGGGGCTGGAGTCAGTTTGTAACAGAAAAATTGTGACTATTGCAGGTGTGCCTAAATGTAAAAAAATATTGTTTTCCAGAAAGCACAATCAAATAACCCTCTCTGGGTTCTTCACAGTATGTATTCTGCTGAGCTAACAGTCCACTTTTTAGCTTTGAGAGTTTGTTTGCTCACATTTGGCCTTGCAAGCTRTCATMCTTGTCTTTGTGACGGAATTCATAGTGTCGCTGCAGACTGTATTCTTTGAATACCGCCACCGCCTCTTGACAGATGAACAAAAAAAAATAATTGTCCACTGCAGCTTAAATGCCCTGCATTCTGAATCAATTTTTCTCTTACCTAATCTGTTCACCATTATTCCGTTCTCTCTYTGAGAGGGGCGGGTTTAGGATTTTTTTCTGGGGGTTGCCAGATAGGGGCACTGACAGCAGAAGGGTGGAACAGAATGTCATGTTATATGTGTGTGTGAATGAAATAGTTACAAACTATTAATAGTTAATAATGAAAATAGTTCATAACTAAGGAACATTTTATTGCAAAAGTCCAACTTTTTAATCAAATATAAATACACATATATGAAAAAAACCTAAATGCTCTCTGGTATTGTTCTGGGGGCTGGACCAAACGGGGAGGCGGGCCGCATTCGGCCCGCGGGTCGTAGTTTGGGGACCACTGACATACAGTCTTTTAAAAAGTGTTAAAATGTTTGTTTTTTAATACAAACTGACAAAAACAAATGTTAAGACCCTGTCCCACAATTAAAAAATGACTGGAAGGGTCTTTTGGAGGTATACATATGATAATACTAACAATTAGATTGTCCATAGTGTTTCCCAAAGTTGGGGTCGGGACCCAAAGTGGGGTCCCGAAACATCAAGGTGGGGTCCTGAAAAGATTTTCTGAATTAATGACATTTTGGTCTTAGTTGTTACAAAGGAGTGAGGTTAATATATTTAAAATGGATAAATGTAGTATAAAAACATTGTTACTATGCCCATGTTTAGTTGACCTGATACAAATGTTTATCATCCAAAAATAGTTGGGGGTACAGGTCTCTGCTACTGTTATTTTGTGGGTCAAAAGCTGAAAAGTTTGGGAACCACTGCACTTTGGTTCCTAAAGTTGGGCTTGGGACCCAATTATGGGTCATGAAGCACCTTGGRTAATCTCCAGAAATCAATTTAAAGGGTAATAAAATAATTGCTGATGTAATATTTTCCCTATAATTATTACAAAAACACAAAATAAGTATAAATAAGTATTTATATTGGTGTACGAGCTGTTTAGATTGTCAAAAAGCCTGTGTTTTCAGGGTTATTAACAAAGTTCGTGTACTCAGACCAGTAATATTTGGGGTCACAAGTTTTTGCCATGRATATTTTRTGGGTCAGAAGATCGAAAGTTTGGGAGCCACTGGTCTATATAATCTGTGATAATTTATTCATAACAAAATTACCACAAATCGGCATAAGTTGTCTAAATCATTGCAGTGTGACAAGAACTTTAGAGAAATCTAGAAAAATTACAGGACTGGAGAAAGCTGCATTCTTGTTTTGTGTTTTCACTCTGTTCATTGACAGTTTTCTTTTTTTTTTTTCACGCATGCTCTCCCTGCGGGATCAGGGCCTTGTCCTCAGGCGGCTTTGTTCTGGTCGGTCATGAAGAAAGTGTGGAGGTRTAGATAAGGACCAATAGCGCCGCTGCTAATCTAGAATCTTGAAAGGAGTCAGCTGAGGTGGTTCATCTGATYAGGRCGCCTCCCTTTGGAGGTTTTCTGCAGGGAAGATCACCTGACGAAGACCCAGAACTCACAGGAGGGATTATACCTCCTCTCTGGCCTGCTTTGGAGAGTGTCACTGGTGAGAGGGAGGTTTAGGTCTCTCTCCTGGACCTGTTGCCTCCGTATCCCGACCACAGATAAGCAGTAAAGATTCCCCTAAATTCCCTTAAGGTACATGCATTGCCTTGTGTTCATTTTGTAAATTTTATTCAACTTACATTCATTTTCTTCTCAGAAATATCAGAAGGAAGAAAGAACCAAACCGCTTGACTCTGTCCACATTTGGGTCCTTCAACTACTTAATCAACCAAGTGTAAAACATGATGCTGTTTTAGTTCTGCCCCTGAAATCAGTGAAAATATTTGACACTTGAATTAATAAATGTATTTGAAAACCAATAAATATGAATCCTAATTGCACCTTTTTTCACAAGTTCTACAGAGAAGCAAGTTACAGCATTGCAAAAATGATGACATACCTGTGTAATAGCATATTTGGGAAGGAAACAGGATATTGGGCCAGCTCTTTTAAAAAATACTTTTCTTKTTAAAGAAAGCAGCGCAGGATCATCTGGATGTCAGTGGTCTAACAGGTTTTCTGTCAAAACAGCAAAAAGGTGAGTCCCTGAAGTGATTTATTTTTAAACCATAATAAAACAATGACTGTGACTTATTTAAATCAAGTTTAATTAACAGTTTGTGAAGAAGACAGTGTTTTGTGTAAAAAACATTACTAAGTGGCATCACTGTTTGGKTTTTTCTTCCTTCTCATATTTCACTGCTTTAAAGTCAATCAATGTTTTTACATCATATCAGGAAAAAGTCAAATTATCTGATTTAATTATCTTTTAACGTTTACGGAAACATTTGGTCTGACTATACCAAATAGTTATCRCCCTGACCATTATTACCAGTAAGAATCGCTGTTAAAGTGCTGAGTCTGCTAATTAAAGCTGACATTTATGGGAATATATGTTTCTGATTAGCAAAGCTGTTGCAACTAGTATGGAAGGTTGAGCTAAAATCTGGTGCTAACTGAAAGTCCTACCCAACAAATACTATGAGCTTTAATAAAACACAAGAAATTGTTTTTTGAAACTTTGCTAATACAGTATCCAGGGGCACCAACCTTGATTGTTAGCAAAATATCGAATGAACCAATGGACAGATGGCAAGTTTTGAATTGAGCGTAATTTCATTTAAGTTTGCAGATATTTTCCGTACACAAAGACATGTATTATCAACCAAAACAGACAATAAAAAAGCATTGTATTTTCCTTTTTTATGTGGCAAAACTAGACTTTGGAAACATGTGACCACTTTTCATGTTTTTTTTTCCATTTTGTCAAAAAATATACACTGGTATGTGTTTTTCCAGTTGATGTATTCGTTTATTATCAGTCTGTTTTCCATCCACAGCCATGTCCATCTCCTTTGAGATCGAGGACTTTTATGACACAAACTCTACTGCCCATTATGACCTCAATCCAGACACATTTTCCTGCAACCCCAAACATGTGGATCCCACGGTGGCACTGATCTTGTGTCTCGTCCTCATAATCAACTTTTTACTGGCAGTTCCAGGAAACGTGCTGGTGGGGTGGGTCATCATCAGCACCCGACAGGTTCTGACCTCATCGGACGTCTACTTGCTCCACTTGACGCTGGCCGACGGTCTGATGGCTCTGACGCTCCCGTTTTTCGCTGTAGAACTGATCCAAGGGTGGCTCTTCGGCGGCTTCATGTGCAAGTTCCTCAACCTCGTCTTGGAGGCGAACTTCTACACCAGCATCATCTTCCTGACCTGCATCAGTGTCGATCGGTACCTCGTGATCGTGTGTGCCAACGAGTCCAACCGGAGTCACCAGAGGAGGTGCAGCAGGCTCCTGTGTGTGGGAGTCTGGGTCCTCGGTTGGGCCCTTGCTCTGCCTGCACTTTTTCACAACGTCGTAACRGTTAAGGACAGCAAGTCCGAGAGATTTGTTTGCATGGAAACCTTTAACATCGGCCGTGTCACCAGCTGGAGGCTCGCCACTCGCGTGTTCCGCCACGTTTTTGGCTTTTTGGTCCCTCTGGTGGTCATGATGGCCTGCTACAGYGTCACCATCGTGCAGCTGATGCGCACCAGGGGTTTCCAGAAGCACCGGGCCATGAGAGTGATCATAGCCGTGGTGGTTGCGTTTCTGCTGTGCTGGATGCCGAATCACATCACACTGTTGGCCGACACACTGATCAGGGTCAAGCTGATCCCGTTTGACTGCAGCTCGAGGATGTCGGTGAACTTGGCTCTGTACTTGACCAACACCTTGGCTCTGCTCCACAGCTGCATCAACCCTTTCCTGTACGCGTTCGTGGGGGAGAAGTTCAGGAAGAAAATGATGCTTCTCCTGCAAAGGAAGCTCAGACAGAAGAGGACGTCGGGGTCAACGTTCAGCAGGTCAACGTCTCAAACCTCAGAGGGAACTGGGACTTTTCTCTGATCGCTCAACAAACATTTTCTTGCGCAAAAAGAAAAAGCAGATCAGTTTATTCTCTCCCAGGAAATGGGAATACATGTTCCAGTTGTTGTTGCTTCCACCAGTTTGGATCAGGTGATACTCTGCTGCCATCTATTGAACTTGCTCCTGTTTTACCTCAGTTTCCTCTGACCATCAAATTTGTGTATCAAGTTATTAAAGTAAACATATGATGTTTTAAATCCTTCTTTTTCACATTTAAATCATTCAGTTTGGGTCTGTATAAAATGGAACTGCAATACTTTGGTCTGAATTTCTTTTTGTTGTACCACAAGCCCCTCTTTAACCCTTTTCCTGATGTGTGTCTCAAAGCAGCTCATTCCTTTAAATCCACACGAGGAGCTTCACGCCCTCCCCCCTCCAGCTTCCAGACCTGTTCATTCTAGTTTGATAGAGGGGTTTACAACTATATAGCGGTGCAGAAACGTTTTATTTACCAATTTAAAAAAAGATGTCAACAATAGAACACTTGTCCATCCAGCCTTACATGAAGCCAGAGTTTGACCCAGAGCCAGAGGAGAATGAAGATCAGCAAATTATAGTTGGTAAGTCCAGACTTTAATTGGCAGTTTTATCACAAATACTTTCACATAATAGTTCAGGAAACTCTGTAGAAAATAGAGAAAAATGAACGAGTTGAAAAATCTGATCCTAACAGAATATAAAGATATATTTGAAGCACAAACATTTCTGCCTCCTAGAGACACAACAAACTGTATAACAGCTAAAAAAGTGGATTTTGCATGATGTATCCCCTTTTAGCATTGCATAGCTTTCAATTGATAATGCGTTATAATGAATTTGAATAGATAATAATTAATAATTATTGAATTTTAATACTATTGTTTTTATTTCCTAATAAAAATTGTCTTCGAATAAAAATGTTGCAGTGATTTAAATCTTATTAAACATCAGAAACACATTAGCCTGGTAAAAACCAGCCCCTTGTTCTCCGATTTGGGAAACTAGAACTAAGCGGAACTGCGTAGGAAGGCAGGGGCCAGACTGGAAACACATAGTCTGGAGAGGAAAGCCTCAAAACCTGAGATGGCTGCAGCAGTTCCTTAATGAGGAGTGGACCAAAATATATGTGGACAGGTGCAAAAGTCTCCTAAAAATTTAGAGAAATCACTTTATTGCCTCCAAAAGTCATGCAACAAAATGTTAAGTTGAGGCAGTGGTTCCCAAACATTTCTCTTTGTTATGGGAAAAATGTCAATGCCAACAAAATGAGTCAAATAGGGCAATGATACCAAACCTTATCATTTTCTGACAAACGTTTTATTATTTTTCTTACAATGAAAATTTAATTA